TTCAATCAAGCTTTCATCAAATTATATGAGTTTTTTTTCCTCCATTTGAGTGAGGTTTTTAGGGGTAAATTTTTCTCATTTATTTATGTATCTTAAGTCTTGCCAACCTGTCACGCCCCAAAACCCAAATTCGAGGCGCAACAGATGCCGTGCACTCGTGAGACGGGTCCCACAAATGCACAAGGCTCGGAACTTATCACACTACAATCTGATACCACCAAAATCTTAAGATCAAATCTTTAAAATCTCTCTGATATCATAAATCTCCAAATACACTCTAGCTTACAAGATCATGAATTGTTTCTAAAATTCATATCCAATTACAATATGGCTAGCCTTCTAACTCGTCACTTCCCGTGGTTTCCCCGTCCTCGGTTTCACTTCCTGAAATGGTGGACAAGGAAAATTATGAGATAAACTCAGTAAGTAAATATGGAGTGCCCTTTATCAACTTAAAGCATGCCAACAAGTGTAATCAGAAAATGGATACAAGTACGGGAACGAAATAGACGTCTCCTCTATTAGTCATGGCCAGTTCCCACTGGCAGGCAAACAAGAATTGCTAGTGTTTAACTCCCACTAGCAGGATTACGGGAATGAACCGGTTCTATCAGGAACATGTCGACATGTGCTAGCGTTTGTAACCTCCCCCACTAGCGGGGTCACGATTACACGACCATATCGAAGACAAAACAGGCAGAAGTTAACAGGGAAATCACATTTCACAATCACTTTCAGATCATCAGGACAATCACTCAAATTTCAAGTAGGCATGCTCAATTTCATGAAAAGCATAAAACATTTCACTTCAAATCAGTCAAGCTCGTGTAAAACGGGTTTAGTCCCGCCACCACTTCAAAAACAAATCAAAACATGCTTTTCAAATCAAAGGGCGTTACCATAATTTACTTACCTCACTCGCATAAAACCGAGCACTCAATTCACATACTAACTGACAGAACGATCGGGAACCTAATCAAAACACCTCAGAATTAATACCGGACTATCACAAATTCAAGCTAAACTCATCATTAGGATCATTCCTAATCACAATGCTATTTCCATTAATCTCCACATTATTAGATATCTCCAAATTCGTTCTCATATCACAAACTAATCATATAAATTCCCGTTAAATATTGGCCCTCGGGGTGTGAACAGTAACCGGTGAACAGTGCCGATGAACAGTGACCCCGACGTGAACAGTAACTCCACTCCCACAAATTGGCCAAAACACTAGCTAATCTTACGGGATTTTCTCTCCAAAAATCACAAGCAGCAATTAATACTCAATCACATAAATCCCACTTAAATCAATGCTTAAACTTCATCTTAAAGCTACCGGAATTATCCCCCATTTTTCTGTCAAATTCGGACATAACAAGGCAGCAAACTAAATGGGTAATTTTAAGCTTAAAAGGCTGTCAACATACCATAATTCTCCAGCTAAAACCGGAGCTGCAGGGGGGAAAGAGCCGGCGGCATGGAAGAAGAAATCTTGCAGGGAACTCACGGGTTTACCCAAAATTAAAGGAAATAAGAGCAATCAAAGTTAACCCAAGCCAATTCAAGCAAGAACAAAGGAATTAGGGGCTGTTCTTACCGAAAAATGCCCAGAAATCACCCATACCCACTAGCAGCCGGCGGTGAAGACAAGCAGAGCAAGGCAGATCTGGAATTTCCAGCAAAGGGGGAGAGATTTCTGGGTTCAATTCTGGTTTTTAGACAAGAAAAGAAGGATAAAATCAAGCCTCCTTATCGGTTTCTCAAAGGCTGGCTGGGTTTCTTCTTTTTTTTTTTTCGGGCGGCTGCAGCGGGAAGACAGAGCAGAACACGCGGGGAAGAAGAAGAAAAGAAAGAAAGAAAGAGATAAAGAAAAGAAGTCATCCTTATCCAAAATCTTTCCCTCTTTAAGTCCTTAAACTTTTGAAATATTCACATTAAGCCCCAAAACAATCTTTTCTCACAATCAAGTCCTTAACTTACACTTAAATATTCCCGAAAATTTGGGATATTACACAACCTAAGTGGTGATCTAGGCAGTCAAACTCATCTTAGTGGGATTCTAAATCTTACCAAAATCAATGTTTCAATATCAGCTCCTACATCACCAAGGGAGAAACAGCTTAGGTTTTCTTTGCCTTTGCACAAGAGGTCCATAATGATTTGACTTTGGCAAAAAGGGTATTATTCTAGCCCATCCACTTTTCGAGCTTATTAAAATGAACTCTTTTTTTTTTTTTTTTGTAATTGATGTTGAATTTAATACCCCACACACCATTCGGTTGAATTAAATCATCCAAAATTTAACTACTAACACAAGCAAACATCAACCTTTTGTATTTTTCCTTAGATTTCATTTTAACTGGCCTCAAGGATGATATGGCAATATATGGGCCCATTTTATTACGTGGCAATTTGATGACTTCGACAAACTTTGATAGGATGTTTATATAGTGAGAACTTTTTAGTATTATTTTTTTATATGACTTTTACATATTATTAAATGAGTGGATATATTTAATATCACAAGTTTCGAATGAATAAAAAGAATCAATTATTTAAATGACACATAAGATTATACAAAAATGTAATATAAAAAGATTGTCTCTAAATCATTTTCCACTTTGATAAATCCTTGGGTCAGGCTATTTAGAAACGAAGAATATATCTAGAGGGATAGTACACATTACCTTATGCCAAGTAGTAAGCCAAATGAGAAAGATGATCCCAATCCCACTGGCCGGTATTGCAAAGAGCCCTGATCAGCAGGGGGAAACAATATTCGGATCAATGTTCAGTTAGGCCAACATGTGCCATATATAAGAAGGGCTACAAGCGTTAGCAACTCCTGGCCGTCCCTCAGCTGCGCCTAAGGTGGTATGCAAAAGGATGTATGTAAAAATTTGTTAAGAGGGTACTTATATAGACCCAGTCTTACAATGAGACAGCATGCATGTGAAACACAAATAGGACCAATTCTTGCTTCACTTAAAACTAAAGTAAGGAACTCCTTGTCTTGTTCAGTTGTAGACTTTCTAGAGTTTCACGTCAAGTATAGTTCATTTAGAACACAAGGGAATGATTAAACTAGGATCCTTGTACAGTAAAATCTACAAACACATGACATAAGAAAACTATATGTGAAACACATGATACTTTTAAGGACAAATTCTTGCTTCAATCAAAGCTAGCTAGCCGAAGTAAAGAACATAACAGTTTTGTTCAGTTTGCAGCCTTTCGCCACCAGTTTTACGTCAAGTATAATTCATTTAGAAGTGATAAGATTGATGATTATATGTCAACATGATGGCTGTTAAAGGCTGAAAGCTAACGAGTCCGTTCTTTATCGGTAAAGCTAATTAAGAGCTCATCAATGTCATCGTTTGGGACTGTTGCATTGTACTTGTGCTGAGGTTATATAATTTTTGTCTTTGCTACCTAAAAAATATACAAAATATTAATTCATTTTTCCACAAGGGGCTATTTAATTAAAAAAAGTAGTGTTCTGTGTGATCCTAAACAAAGCAAATTAT